TTCGTTTATGTTCGTTCATAAACATGCTAAACGAACGTAAACGAACGAAAATCTTTGTGTTCGTCGTGTTCGTTCGTTTAGAAATAAGGTGTGTTAGTGTTCGTTCGTTTAGAAATAAGGTGTGTTCGTGTTCGTTTATGTTCGTTCGTAAACATGCTAAACAAACGTAAATGAACGAACATAAACGAACGGGCTAAACGAACATAAACGAACTTCCCACCGAACGGTTCACGAACGGTTCGTTGAACGTTCGGTTCGTTTACATCCCTATCGGTACTATAAAAACCATAGTTTTTGTAATTAGTTTTAGATGTATATTATACTATATTAATTATATGGTGCCACCGTTTGAAAAAATTTCTGGGTCCGTCCCTGTAACAAACCATAGTGAAGCTGACTCCCCCCCCCCCCCCCCCCCCCCGACCATAGGGACAGAATCCGTTAAAAACATATAAGTATAGGGACTGAACATGTAATTTACTCATAAAAATATAATAAAATATTTGTGAATTAACATCAACCGTTATAAACAATCAAACTCTAACCGAAACCAACCAACAGTGGGAACTCAAATCATCCGCCCTCAATGTCCACGTGGGTCGCCAATCCCTTATTAATTGCGCCATTTATCACGGCGCCATCATTACTATAAAACCACCCCAAAACACCCTCTTCAATCTCACCACCACCTTCCTTGCTTCCTCCAACAATGGCCACCACTTTTCCGCCATTGATGATTCTCTTCCTAATTTCTTCACTTTCTCTTCTCACCATTAATGCTACTTCTTCCCCATCTCATCATCAAAACCCTGATTCCATCGTCGATGAAGTCAACGACAGTATTAATAATTCCTCCCGGAGAAACTTAGGTTATCTCTCCTGCGGCACCGGCAACCCAATCGACGACTGCTGGAGGTGTGACTCCAACTGGGCCTCTAATCGTCAAAGGCTAGCCGATTGTGCGATTGGGTTCGGAAAGAACGCAATCGGCGGGAGGAATGGCCAGATATACGTCGTCACTGATCCCGGAAATGATAATCCGGTGAACCCAGTTCCCGGAACACTCAGACATGCCGTCATTCAAGATGTGCCATTATGGATCATCTTTAAACGTGATATGGTCATTCAACTACGTCAAGAGCTTGTTATGAATTCATTTAAAACCATTGATGGAAGGGGTGTGAATGTTCATATTGGTAATGGTCCATGCATCACCATACATTATGCTACTAACATCATCATACATGGCATCCACATACATGATTGTAAACAGGCTGGGAATGGTAACATCAGAAACTCACCACATCATTCTGGATGGTGGACTCAGTCTGATGGTGATGGGATCTCCATTTTTGCAAGCCAACATGTTTGGGTGGATCATTGTTCATTGTCGAATTGCCATGATGGATTGATAGATGCCATCCATGGATCTACAGCCATCACCATTTCTAACAATTACATGACTCATCATGATAAGGTTATGCTTTTGGGACATAGTGATAGTTACACACAGGATAAGAACATGCAAGTTACTATTGCTTTCAACCATTTTGGTGAAGGTTTAGTCCAAAGAATGCCAAGGTACAATTACATTAGAATAAGTGTACAACCACTTGATGCATCCATGTTTGATTTTCATCTGAAATTCTTGACTTTTGAATGTGAATCTTGCAGATGTAGACATGGGTATTTCCATGTGGTGAACAATGATTATACCCATTGGGAAATGTATGCAATTGGAGGAAGTGCAAACCCTACCATCTACAGCCAAGGCAACAGATTTATGGCACCCAATACCAGATTTGACAAAGAGGTAACTTGCTCGTCACAATTGTTATGTACATCTGAAATCGAATCCTAAAAAAATGGATATTCCACTACATCCCGCAAGTACTCAACCACTAAGCAACAATCCTTGTGGTGCACACATACACACATGTATATAGGGTCTGGTTCAAACAAGAAGCTGAACATTTTGTGAGAAAGCGACAAGTTTCAGTATCATATATGATTACACGTATGATACAAAAGTTTAATCATATATGATATTGAAACTTGTCGTCTTTTGGCAAAATGTTTAACAGTTTAACTTCTCGCATGATCTTCTCTCTGTTATATAGATACATGATTGGTTAATGGATATATATACGTAGGTGACGAAGCATGAGAGTGCAGCAGAAAGTGAATGGAAGAATTGGAACTGGAGATCAGAAGGGGATTTGATGTTGAACGGAGCGTATTTCAGGGAATCGGGTCGAGGTTCTGCTTCAACTTATGCGAGAGCTTCGAGTTTAAGTGGAAGACCGTCGACGCTGGTGGCTGGGATGACGAGGGCCGCCGGTGCACTCATTTGCAGAAAAGGCTCGCATTGTTGATCAGCAATCTTGGATTAATATATACAGCTAGCCTTCTATATCGATCAAGAAGCATGGATTTCGAGTTTCTTTGCTGTTTTATGTTCTTCTTTCTTACTTAATTTGACTAAAAAGTCAACCTCTGTGCTTGTTGGCATATGAATCAAGATGAGATTTTTCATATGGATCAAGAAATTATGCGCAAAAGAGTTGACCAAATCAATATATCTATCGGTTACTTATTTCTTATTGCCCCACCCCCACCATCTACCATGATTTTATTTTGGTTGAATTTATAGCTGTTTGTTTATCTCTTAATAGTTTCATTAAGAGACAACATCTGAATCGTTAAGAAGTGAATCTTGTTTGGCAAAAAAAAAATGTCTCTAAATGGTTCTAAAATTCTCTTAATGATTTTGCATTATGGTTATCCCTTAACCATTCAGCGCCCTAATTTCATTATAAACAATTATCAAACAATTATATTTCATTTTGCACTATATCATGAGAGCTTTTTAATCATTCTGCCCACTTAATTATTTTGTACTAAATCATTCAACAACTACCAAACAGCTCCTTACTTTTCATTTTGAATTAAAAACACTAAATAATCACTAAGGTTTTCAAGATGTTGAATTATATTATTGGACTTTTTGATAAACTGTTTAATGAGAATTAAAAATTGTGAGACCGACAATTATATGTCTTATACAATGGTCATCTGTATATTGTATTTTCTATTTTCGTTATCTTTCTTTTGCTTTTCTCTATTTTATCAGATAAAAGTTTAACATAACTAGTTATTGAATCAAAATTAAAATAACATAACTGTTGAAGATGCTCTAAAATAAAGTTATATTACTAAACAAGTTTTATCGACAAAGTCGACCAAAATAATAGAACTTAAAAAATAAATCGTTATATTAGTTTTTTGCATAAGATATTGGAGAATTGTTATATATATAATAAAGTGGTTGGTAGTACCTTTTCAAAAGTGCCATAAAAAGCCAATATAATGGTTTAGTACCTTTGAGTTTTATTAAATTGTCGACTTAGTTAATAAAACTTATTGGGTTGTAATTTCGTCCTCACAATTTAGGTAATGTCATTATATAAACACACGTTCATTGGTTATATAAACTTAAAATCTCATTAAATATCCTATTAAAACGTCCAAAGATAACTAGACATCCTAAACTGACCAGTTTGTTAAAAACATTAAATAATACATTAAGAGTAAGTTGGTCATTTTGGCAGTCATATCTTATTTAATTCAGTCATATCTTATCAAACGTTAAACAACTGTCTTATCATATTCGATCATGTTTATCTGAGTATCGTATACATCCTAAAAGAATTCTTAGATTCAGGACGTAGTAGGATCAAACAAACAAATCGTAGCTATAATTTTTTTTGTGAAAAAGGTTATTATATTAAATTATAAGGGTGATTTTTGATTGGTTTGAACTTGACTTCAAATGTCAAAAGTATATGAAGGTCTCAAATTCAAATCCAAAGAGGAATAAAAATCCCCTTGTGACCACGGAGGTTTTCAAATATGGTGACTCCGGACCATCTGCAAAACAAGTGATCGTCTTAGGATTAATCGACTCGTATAGCGGATTGAATATTCAGGTTAATAAAAAAAAATTATAAATATAATATATAAAGAAAAGTTGTGATTGGGGCGTCAATCATGGTGTGGGTCCATGAGGCCACGAGATTTCAACCTTCATAATTAAGGTGCATGGAAGTACACTCCATGCTCCCCTTTGCTTTTATTCAACTGGATAGAAATAATCACCTCCACATTTCACTCTTTTCCTTCTTTAAAAAAATATTTATTTAAAATTATGTTAAAGTATTTAATTTTAATCATTTATTCAAATAATTTTAAATAAATATGTATTAAAAAATTTATAAAAAATAAGGTATTTAATTAAGATATCACTAATAAACATTTTAATAGGAAAAACATTAATACAAAGTAAATTAGAAATACGTAATGATCGTTGAAATAAGAACATACATAAGTTCAAAATGACGTATTAAATAACACGACTTATGATAGTTAATCAAGTTGATGTGAAAAGATCTGCCTATATTAACTACAAGGGTGGTGTCTGATTGGTTTGAACTTGGCTCTAAAGATCAAAAATACCAGGAGGTTGCATGTTCAAATCCAATGAGGAGTAAAAATCCCCTTGTGACCACGGATGTTCAAATGCGGTGACTCCGGGCTATCTGCAAAGCATGTGGTCGTCCTGAGATTAGTCGGCTCGCATAGCGGGTTGGATATCCAGGTTAATAAAAAAAAAGATATGCCTATAGTTTGTAAAATTATTGAGTATAGTAGTAGTACTAGAAATATGTGTAACCTTGATAAAAATAATATACGTACAAGTATTCTTTTTTATTGTAAAAAATAATGTAAACATGGAATGATTTCCTGTTCGCATTATTTCTTGCATCGAAATAGTGTCAAATTTGGTGTTTTACATTGGAGAGATACCTTTGGGAACCTCATTTTCATTGAAAACATGGGAAACTAATTATTTATGATGAATAACACTCGGTGGTATTAATTATGGATAACTGGTTTCCACAATTCTAGTAACCTACCTATACACACACACACACACACACACACATATATATATATATATATATATATATATATATGGTTGGGTTCCTGTAGGAATTCCAAATTATGTAGGAATCATAGAAATACCCCAGCTACCGTTGGCCGTAAAGATCTATGTGTTGGCGCGAATGCGATCGAAAATGAAGGAAGGGTGGTCATGCTGTCATTCAACATTAAGACGAGATTCTGCATTTTTGAATGTTCGCCCTCTGGGCCAAGTGTTCGCCCACTCCATCAAAATCTGCCACTGGCAAAGAAGGCCCTTCCTCAAACATTCAATCAAGCGTTGTTTTATCGGAGAGATTTTAGATTCTAAAATGAGAATGTTGGATTGGGGAAAGGCTTTCATTCTTTTCTTCAGTTGAAGTAGCTCTTTCCTGGTCAAGTTTGCTTGTATCTGCTGTTACCTAAACCGCACATTCTAGCAGCCTAAAAAAAGAGCATTTTATTTGAACAAATATAGAACTTAAATTGTTGGGTCACTTATTGATTTGATGATGACCCACTGATTTGTTCATATAACCTTAGCAACACTTAGTAGTTATGTATTAAGGTTTTCATGGTTAATAGATTGTCATGAGTTAGTGTGTAGAGATTGCATTAAGGTATATTAAAATTGCAGGTTAAGATACGTCAAGGTTTTCATATTAATATACGTCCAGATTATCGGCTACGTTAACCTATATTTATGAATGTTCAGGTTGGTTATAGTTTGTTAACGTATATTAAAGTTGAATATTTCATTTAGTTAAAAACAAATTCAGATATGTTAACGTATTTTTATAGGAATTAAGTTATATTAAGCTTCGTATATTATCTTAATCATCGACATCAAAATTCAGCTTTATTACGAAAACGTAATTGTATCCATATATACACCTTTAGACAAAGCATGCGATCTCATCCCTTAGGCAATTAAGTCAATTGTCTAAAGGGATCATGGCCTAATTTTAAAAATGTATTTAATATATGTATTATGGTTGATAATGATTATGTTACGTTTTATTATTTGTTTCTCTTATAACATTTAAACCCTTTTATTGCCATTCAATATATTAACTATACTTAATAATGAAAGCCCTGTTTCATTTTCTTAATATTTAGAGCATAAATTAAAAAAATATAATATATTA